AAAAATTTAAGTAAAAAAAAAAAGAAAGCCAATAAAATAATAAAAAGTTAAAAAAAAGAAAACAAAGGAGGTGTCACGTGGACACTAAGCAGGATGGAAAACTTTTAATCTATATCCAATCCAATCCCATTTTCAAAAAAAAAAAAAAAAAACCTCAGCTCAACCTTGATTTATCAAAAAAAGTCGCTTATGTTGAATTGGTGGGAATCAAAACCAATGGAATATTAATTGTTTTATCATTCTTATTTATGTTAACTTTTTTATAAAATTTATCTAATAAAAATTTTAAATTTTACAAATCGAATAAAAAGGTTAAAAAGTAAATAAACAAAAATAAAAAATAAATATAAAATTAATAAACATATAAAATATAAAAATAAATTTTCAGACTAAAAATGAGCCTCTATGCCTCCAAAATCTACAACTTTAATATTATAGATGGATGAATAAAATATATTTTTTTATATATATTCAAAGTTGGATGAAACATCCTAAACAAACTTTTGATTCACTCTTGATTTTATAAAAAAAAAAAACATTCTCGATTGAATTTTGAATTTTTTAAAAAAGCACCCATTAGATTAAAGTGAATCAAAACTAAACTAATATGGATATTTTTATTATTACTTTCATTGATTTTTTTATACAAAATATATCTATTTAAAAAAATTAAAATTAAAAATCCTAAAAAATAACAAATAAATAAATAAAAATTGGAAAGATGGGAAATAAAAAATTAAAGTTAAAAAAATAAAAAAAAGAATTTAAAAATAGAAATTCAAAAAATTAAAAACAAAATTAATTAAAAAATAAAAAAGAGAAGTGCCACGTGGACACTCTCCTTTTGCACCAATCTCTACAAAATTTATATAATTAACTAGGTACAAACCCACTCCTCCTCATGAAAATAGAGTATTAAATGGATGAAGAGAATAAAAGTATATTTTTGCAAGTTTTGTATCATTAGAGGTTGTCCAATGAAGATATCGAACATACATGACTGGAATTAAAAAAAATTTATATTGAGTAGTACCTTAGAAATTTCATATGAAATGCATAATTAGAAATTATAGATCCAAAGACAATGAAAAACATAATTCATATAAAATAAATAGATAATTTTTCAAATTCAAGTTTTTTAAATTTAAATTTTTTCAAATGAATACAAATATAATCGAGTTTCATTTAAGTTCAATTTATATAATTTTTTAAATTCAATCAAAATTTTGCCAACTCTACACAATTTGTTCTATAACTGGTAAGGCAATCAGTCTTCCATAAAAATTTCCAAAGCAGTCTCCATCTTTTTCTGGCTGCTCCAAAATCATTTTGTTGCCGAGTAAATTTCAGGGGAGATCAATCAACTTTGACCCAATCCCATTTAATTCACTCAACTTCAGTTTGTCCCATTAATATCACTCAAGTTTGATAAATGTACCAAATATGATCACTTGACACATTCCTTTCAAATTATTAACAAAAAAATAATAAAGTTTCCACGTCAGGTGCCATGTAAGCTGCCACATAAGCCTAACGGAAAACCATTTAACAACGCCCAGAATTGGTGCCTAAGTGCCTTACCATTGTACGGCCTTAACAGCGAAGGAAGAACACGAATTATCTTCAACGAATGTCTTACCAAACAGAAGCTTAAAAATAGCTTGTTGAAGAGAAGGTAAGAGTAGCTATTGCAAATCCAACATTAATCTGGTTTGTGGTATGCTTGTATCCACTTTAGAAACCCAAACAGTTTGCATAAGAGCCTGCCCACCAAAACTGGAAGAAGGGTTCCCAAATATATGATGGAGAACAACAACCTGAAGAGATAACTCCCAACGTTGCACTCTCCACCATGTGATTGTAGGACACTCATATGTATCATATATAGACATTTTATACTGCGAATAAGAAATCAATCATTTGGATTGATTTGTTCAATAAACAAGATGACATAAACACAAGGAATTTATGAGATGGCAAATTAATAGCTAGTAAAAGATAAATAATCTTGTTTAGAAACCAAGAAAATCAACAGCAAAGAAGCTTTCGGTCCAATAGAAAACCATTTTCCAACACCCAGAATCGTTGTGGGTCTTAGATTTTTTGGGGGTAATTCGAAATAGAATGAGAGAAAAGGAAAAAGAAGACTTGTTCTAGTCGGTGGCGGGTTTTGACAATAGCAAAATAGAGTTTTAAGGGGTAGGAACCATAAGGTTTCGGGTTAGATTTAGGCCAATCTATCTCTTTTTTGTAAAAATCCAAACCTAAGAAAGGAGAGAGGAGGTTGAAAGAAGTCTAAAAATGAAATTTACTGATGTTTTGGCACATGCGAGAGGTAGAAGACGACAGTCAGGGCGGCGAAGACGGTAGTCGGCAATGGGTATGGTGGTGGTCAAATTTTCTTTTGGGAGAGGCAGTGAGAAAAAAGAAATTTAGGGAGAAAAAAAATTGAAAATTAGTGATTTAATTTATTTATTTATAGATGGCTTGATAGCTGACATGGAGGATGGTGTAGTGCTGATATAACTGTCGTGTAATTTTTTTGCCAAATGTTTAGATGAAAATTGTCAAGTGACACATGTGGTACATTTATCAAATTTGAATGATGTTCATGGAACAAATTAAAGTTGAGTGAGTTATACGAGATTTGGGTCAAAGTTGAATAACCTCTAGTGAAATTTACTCTTTTGTTGCCTAAACTCAACGTTGAAGCAAACTTCAGGATACAGAGGCAAAATGTTAAAAGGGAACCCCTAAAAAAAAAAAACCACATGCATTTGCAATGTTTTTGGCTACCATCAAATTCTGGTAATTCTATTTGGCTGCCATCATGTAGGCAGTCTTCCCTCAGAATTCCTTGGGTTCTCTGAATCTCGCTGATCGAATTTCCCAAAACAGAATTTGTTGCTTGAAATTACTGAAGTTTTCCCTTACAAATTACAATACCATAGAGGAAAATTAGTAGTACATGTATCTGTTTTTAAAAGAATACCTAAAGCCTAAACTTCTAAAACTTTGATTCAGCATCAGATCATAAAATGGTCTAGATTCAGGTCTCGTTAGCACTTTAATTCTCACAGTTTGAGTAGCAAAGTGGCTTTGCTGAAATCACTCATTAACACGAACAAATGCACCAGTCAAGCATGATATCAAAAGGCCTTTTCTAAGGATACGTCTAATTGGGGTCAAATCTTTATTGCTCTAAAAGTGGATATCAAATATGAAAGTTTACAACAAGGATTTCCAATACCAAACAATTCAATAAATGACGACAAAAACTGTCTTTTCTTTGAACATTGAAGATAAGTTTTATTCATAGAAAACACCAAATGCCACAGATTTTTCAAAAGACCAAACCTGAAAATAAAACAGGACGTATTACCACACAAATGTAACAAAAGCCCATAAATACAAATTTACAAATGAAGACACCCATATGATCAAAGTTGAACAAAATGTAAAGCAAGCTATCCACTAAGAACACCCTGAATCATATCTCCAAACCACTGCCACTGAAAATGAAGACAGACGACAGAACACATGCTCTTTGTAGCCAAATCATACTGCTGAGGTGCACCTTCCCTTGGATTCAGTTCGGATGCCACTATGACAAATAGAAGGAAAAAAATTAAGTCCACATTACGGAATCAATGCGAGAACTAATAGCTGTTCTACTTAGTTTATTTAAACTAGTTAAAACTCACCTAAGCATTTTGGATGCAGTGCTTGTTTCTTCTTCCTCGATTTCTTCCAATCCACCTTGTAACATTCCATTGCAAATCTCTCTCAACCATTTTGACAAAGCTCCATGGCCTTCCAGTCGTGAGCACTATGTATCCAGAACTCAATCCTAGCACCAGTCCACATCCATATTTTTGGGAATATTGACTCAAATCCCATAAGAGATTTGTTTGAGATTTGTTTGAGATTTGTCAAATATTGTTTGATGGACAAGAAGACTTGCAAAAGAAGAATTCTAAGAGAAAGAAGATTCTTAATAGGTAAGTTTGACTTACAAGAGAAGAATTTTAAAAAGAAAGAGATTCTTAATAGGTAAGTTTAACTTACAGGAAAAGAATTATAAGAGAAGAGGGATTCTTAATGGGCAAGTTTGTATGGTTATAAATAGGTGAAGTCTCTATAAGGTTTGATATGAGAAAAAAATGTAAGAAAGTTGTAGGATTTTGTGGGATAGACACCCCATAGGAGTATTGGGGATCTACGTCTTATGGGTGTTAAGTTTGACTTACAGGAAAAGAATTCTAAGAGTAGAGGGATTCTTAATGGGCAAGTTTGTATGGTTATAAATAGGTGAAGTCTCTACAAGATTTTGTGGGATAGACACCCCATAAGAGTATTGGGGATCTACGTCTTATGGGTGTATATGTTTGTTTGTGAGTGGACTAGAGGAGACTGAGAGGGTCCTGATGTATGAGAGCATATGGGTATATGTCTTTTTATGTTGAAAGGGTACATAAGGGTTTGGATTTGTGTTTGTTTGGGTTGAGAATACTTTGTAGGACTAGAGGAGATTGAGAGTATCTTATGAGTATTGATTGTTGAGTGAGGTTGATGATTTGATGTATGTTTATAATTCTCTACAACTAGTGGATCTTGTTTCTCATCCGTAGATGTAGGTCAGTTGGACCGAATCATGTTAAATTATTGTTTCTTGTGTGTTTGATTTATTGTTTAATTTTGCTTCCGTTAATGTGATTGGATTGGAGGCTTTTAGCCCAACACATAACCCATCATTGCAAGTTTCAAAACGAAGGCTATTGCAGAACCTTCAGCTTCCTTATACTTTGGTGCAGGTGGTTTTAGTCCCTCAATGTTACAGCATTTTTTTGACAATGCAAAGCCACACAATCTCAAGTTTCCGCTGTATGAATCATTCTCAAAGTGTCAAATTGTTTGCCATGGGGAATAGGTCCCTCCTGATTATTTTCTGAAAGATTTAACACTTCGAGAAATGTCAGGTTTGTCAATTGGGAAGGAATTCAGCCACTAAGCTTGTTTGATGAGAAATCTAGTGATTCAAGCGCTACTAAGTTCCCCAACGATGGTGGGATATGACCGGTGAGGCTGTTGTGAGAGAGGTTAAGCACTTGAACTGCGCGAAGCTCTCCGATTACCTGAGGGATTTTTCCATTGAATCGATTATTTGAAAAATCAATGGCAGTGAAAATGAGTAACGTACCCATTAGCTGTAGCTCTGTCTCTGATCTTTTTGATGTTACATTCACAGAAATCTGACCATCTCTATTGAATGACTCATAACTAATGATGAGTCTCGCATACCTATTGAGTATGAGTAGGTCTGCAAGACTTAGTTCTGTTGCATACTTCATTGCATCTAGATTTTGGAAGAAATTCGTTGGCAAGAGGCCATTAAACTCATTCTGAGAGAGATCAATAATTTGCAATGATGAAAAGGAAGGCTGAACTAAGGAAATGTTCAGGGGACCATGAAATCTATTAAATCGCAGGATAAGAACTTGCAGATTTTGAAGCATACCTAACCAATGGGGAAATGTATCACTTAGCCTTTTATTTGCCAAAAATAAAATTTTTAAAGAAGTACAACACAATTAATCAAGAATCGTGACAATAATCCTTCCAATTGGTTGTTGTTAAGGGCAAGATTTGTCAAACTACTATCCTCAACAAAATAATAAGGAATTTTTCCAGGAAAGTTATTCATTTGTAGGTTTATGGTTGAGAGAAAATAGCTAAAATTTCCAAGACACAACAGAATACTTCCTCCCAAGTAATTTCTAGACAAATCAAGAAACTCAAGTGAAGTCATGTTACAAATGGAAGGAGGGATTTCTCCTGCCAATTGATTTTTGGACATGAAGAATTCTCGCAATGAAGGCGGTGGAGCTAGAAGAGGACCTTGGAGTTGGTTGGAACGAAGGTCAAGGATTTCAAGATTCTTCTCCAGAAATAGCTAGAAACTAGTCAGTAGGTTGTGAGAAAGATTTAAAGTGGTTATTGTTCCCAACCATCTGATTCCCAATTGAAAATTGAACCTTGAATTTTGTTATTGGAAAGATCAAGAACTCTTGGGCTTTTCCCTGATGGTAAGAAATTCGGGAATCGCCTTATGTTGCAAGAAGTGAAGGATGAAGTCTCGAGCTCTTGAAAAGTAGATTTAACACTACTGTCACTACTCAATGATAGCAACTTGTTATTTGAAAGATCAAGTGTTTTAAGATTCTTCAGCTTCGAAAACACATCTGACTTGATGACGCCAGTAAAATTATGTGATGAAAGATCACTGTTTCAAGAATTGGGAGCTTTGAAAGCATAGCTGACTTGATGACGTCAGTTAAGTTGTTTGATGAAAGATCAAGTTGGGTAAGATTTGCAAGATCAAAGAAAGAACTTGGTATCACTTTATCAAACTCATTAGACAACAACAAGAAGACGGTTTTGGTATCATAAAAAATAATATGGGTTCAATGAAACTCAACATAATTGGAAAGTACAAGTTTTAGATATATTGCAAAAATATATATTATGAACCATGCAATCAGCAGCCATTGACCGGCAGTCATGTTGGTTTATTGATATTTGATAAGGTATTGAAATTTTAATTTTAATGAATAAATTTCAAACCTCGACAGTTTTAGATAAAAAGCCATGGAACCAGTGATTAACCAACCAAACAAAAAGAAATTAACCTTCAATAGTCTAATTAATGACATTAAGCAACATAAATAATTAATCAATTAGAGTTCCATAAGTGGAGACAGTGCCAAAAGCAAAAGATTTAAAAAAAAAAAAAGAACAATAATTGATGGGACAACTCATTAACACCTTATGGAAAAACACTAAAAGAAAAAAAAGGAACATAGTGCCCCAAAAAAACACAACAGATACAAATTTAGAAATTATGAAGACACATATGAACAGAGCTAAACAAGGAAAGCAAAATGACACTGAATTACAGTACTGGAGTTGCTCAACCATTCAGATTTTCAATGAACAACCCAATTATTTGAACCATTGCCACAGAAAATTAGAAAATTAACATAGATGATAGAAAATATGCACTTTCCAGCCAGGTCCTATGGAAGCAGCGTGCATGTCTTCCTCAAGTTCAGTTCGACCGCCACTGTGACAAATATGAAAAAAAAAAAAAAAAGAATGAGGAAAGATTAACTGTATATGACAAAAGCAATGAGAGTTTAATAAAATTCTACTTAGCAAAATAGTTAAAACTCACTGGAGTATTTTGGATGCAGTGTTAGTTTCTTCTTCCTCCTTTCCTGCGAATCCACCTCGTAACATTCTTCTGCCAATCTCTCTCAATCGTTCTAACAAACCACCATGGTCTCCCAGTTGTGAAAACAATGTATCCCATGCTCAATCCCAACACCAATCCACATCCATAGCCCATCATGGCAAGTTTCCAAATAAAGGGTATTGCCGAAACTTCATCTTCCACAAACACTGGTGTAGGTGGTTTTGGTCCCTTATCGTCGCCACATTTCATTGACAGTGGTAGGCCACACAATGCCAAGTTGCCGCTATAGGAATCATTGTCAAAAGTATCAAATTGATTCCCATGCGGGATGGGTCCGACAAGATTATTTTGTGACAGGTTTAACACTTCCAGAAATGTCAGATTTGTCAATTGGGAAGGAATCCTGCCACCAAGCTTGTTCCACGAGAGATCTAATGATTCAATTGCTGCCATACTTCCAAATGACGATGGGATGGGACCAGTTAGGTTGTTGTGCGACAGATTGAGCACTATAAGAGCATGAAGTTCGCCAAGTGCATCAGGGATTCGTCCATAAAATCCATTGTTTGAAAAATCTACGAGTGTGAAATCCGGGAATGTTTTCGCCAGCTCTAGCTCTATCTCCAACCTTTTCATTGTTACTTTCACAAAACTATCATCTCGTCTGAGAAGATGGATTGGCGACATCGAATTATATAAAGATATAGTAGACACAGCTTTCATAGCTTTCAAACTTTGGAAGAGTTTTGTTGGCAAGAGGCCACCGAACTCATTTTGAGAGAGATCAATTACTTTCAATAATGAAAAGGAAGATGGAACTAATGAAAAGGAAGATGGAACTATGGAAATGTTGAGGGGACCATGAAATCTATTGTGGCGCAGGATAAGAAATTGCAGCCTCGGAAGTTTATCCAACCAATGGGGAAAGGTATCACTTAACTTGTTATTTGCCAAATTTAGAAATCCCAAAAAAGTACAATTAATCAAGGATCGTGGCAATAACCCTTCCAATTGGTTGTCATTAAGGGCAAGATTTGTCAAACGAGTACCCCAAACAAAGCAATCGGGGATTTTGCCATGAAAATTGTTCATCTGTAGGTTTATGGTTAATCGAAAACGGGTTATGTTTCCAAGGCACGCTGGGATAGTTCCACCCAAGTTATTTCTGGACAAATCAAGAATCTCAAGTGAAGTCATATTACAAATCCAAGGAGGAATTTTTCCTGTCAATTTGTTTTCTGAAACAAAGAATCGTTGCAATGAAGGTGGTGGAGCTGGAAGAGGACCTTGCAGTATGTTGGAACGAAGATCAAGGATTTCAAGATTCTTCCCTGGAAATTGCTCTAAACTAATCAGTGAGTTGTGAGAAAGGTTTAAACTGGACAATTCTTCCCACCCTTGTGATTCCCATTTGGAAATTGAGCCATGAATTTTGTTACAAGAAAGATCAAGGACTCTCAAGTTCTTTGCTGTTCTTAAGAAATTTGGGAACCGCCTTACATTGCAAGAAGAGAATGATAAAGTGTCGAGCTCTAGAAAAGAATAGTTAACACCATTGCTGCTACTCAAAGATAGCAGCCTGTTATTTGAAAGATCAAGTGTTGTAAGATTCTTGAGCTTTGAAAGCAAATCTAACTTGATGACGCCACTAAAATTATTTGATGAAAGATCGAGTTTTTCAAGATTCCCAAGCTTTGAAAACTTAGCTGACTTGATGACGCCAGTCAAGTTGTTTGATGAAAGATCAAGTTGGGCAAGATTTGCAAGACCAAAGAAAGAACTTGGTATTTCACCATGTATGTCATTATTGGCCAAAAACACTTGCTGAACTGAATTAGGCTTTTGAATCTGATTGATTGGACCGGTAAGCCTGTTACGACTAAGCTCTAAATATTCTAAAGATGGCAGAGTAAAAAGCCAAGATGGAATTGCTCCACTCAATAAGTTATCAGTCAACCAAAATTCTTCCAGATTCTGAAGCCGGCTCACTTGAGTTGGGAGGGGGCCCTCGAGACTATTGAATGATAAATCTAAATAAGTAAGTTGCGTGAGATTGAACAACGTTGAGGGAAGTTGACCATTGACATGACAAGAAGAGAAATCCAAAGTAGTGAGTTTATTAAGGTTTCCAAAGACATTTGGAAGTTTTCCTTCGAAGTTGCTTGAAGATAAATCTAGAAATGTGATTTTTGTGAGGTTACCTAGGGCCGAAGGAATTGACCCTTTAAAACCACTATCCGAAAGGCACAACAACCTAAGGGGACTACTCCAATTTGATATAGGGAGATAACCTGTCAAATTATGGTTCCCGCTTAGATCAAGATACTCGAGGTACGGAAGGTTAAAAATTTCAGCAGGGAATTCCCCCTGTAATTCACATGCACCGAGATCCAAACGCTTCAGAGATGAAGTCAAGTTTATCAAGGAGGAGGGCAAAACATCAGACATATTTATAGTGTCAAGGAAAAGATTTTCTAATTCAGACAAGTTATGCATAAGCATGTCAAAACTGTGGCGGTCAAATTTCAAGTCCTCAAAACCATTGCCAGAAAGATCAAGTGAAATCAGTTTCGATAGCAGAGAAATATCAAATGGAACTAAACCAGAGAAGCGACAACCAGAAAGATTAAGATGTGTCAAACTTACTAACTGACTAAAGCCAGAAGGGATAGAACCCTCGAAAAAGTTGTAAGCAAGGTTGAGTCGTTTGAGTCCTTGAAGGCGAAAAAGAGTGCTGTTTTCAGGAATAGAGCCACCAAGAAAAGAGCAACTAAGGTTGAGGCCGGTGACATGACCATTCACCTTGTCGCAAGTGACTCCATCCCATGAGCAGCAGTTTGTGCTTTCATTCCAGAAGTTTGTTTTTGGATAAGAAGTTAAAAGGTAAGGACACAAATCAGCACCAGAATCATCACTGGAAATGGTCTTGAATTGGAGCAAGGCAGAGCTCTCTTCTGGTAGACATAAAGGGGTTGAAGAATTAAGAGAAGAGGAAGACAAACTTAGAGAACAATCGACTCCGGAAAGTAAGAATTGTACTAAGAGGAGACTAAGAATTTGATGCAACCAGACTAACTTTCCCATGTCTAGAAACTAAGAAACAAGCGATGAAAGGAGGCAGAGGTTTAGGGAAATGAATTTGAAAATGTGCTATGGCTTGAGGCTGGAGAGATACTATATGAAAATGGATTAATGAAGGCCTATATTTATATCATTTCAAGTCAACTATAAGTCTTTCAAAGTCATTTTAACATCTTTAAATTTCCTAATGTTTAATGTGGAGGTAAGATTTTTTTTTTCTTCTTCGTTGGCATAAACACTGAATTTTTTAATCTTGTAAAACAATTTATGTTTTTATCCTTTAATCCAATGAAAATAGAAATTCAATCAAAAAATGACAAAATATTGCTTCATCTACCCTAATATGTATGATTGTCTATATTGTCTATAGAAATTAAGTACTACAAAATATGAGATTTTTTTAAAGTAACAAAATATGAAATTCTTGTTGATCAAGTATTCCCAAAAAAAAAAAAGCAAAATGAAAGCATATAGAAAGAATAAATTTAAAAGCAAAGAAAAGAAAAGTAAAGAAAAATGAAAAGGCAGTATTGGCTAAATAGAATTGTTATCGTTAAATATAAGGTTTAGCCACCATTTTCAATTTGAAAAGTTATCACATCCAAGTAGAGTTTTTGAACTCTACTATTTGGATTAACAGGGTAACCAATACCCTTTAAGTTATAGTAAAAAATTTTTAAAAATAATTAAAAAAATAAATTGGACATTTAACAACCTCTTAATTTTGTTTGTAAAATAAGACAATTACATTATTGTGTATCTCTACCTTAACTGTATTTACTAAAAATACATGATCTCCACTTTAAAAATTGAGATTTTAATTCTGAATAAAACAAAATAGAATCGATAATATTTTCAACCATGTATATATTGCTCAACCTGCAACATTTTATAGATTAATTGTAGAGATTTTCAATTTTGGTTCGTTTTAATTTAATTATAATTTATGTTTTTAAAACTAAAAATTTGAGTTTTATGGATTTTGTACTGGATCATATAGAATTTAGACCATTACAAGTTAGAATTACTTGGAATTAAAAGTGCTTTAAGTTCAAGTTGCTTTCGATTTGAATTTCTTCAAGTTCAAATTTTTTTGAATTGAAGTCTTTTTAATCAATACAAATAGAGTTTGTTGTCAAATCGATCTTAGCGATTTTTTAAATTCGATGAAATTTTACCTTCTCTACACAATTTGTTTCATAACCGGTAACGCAATCAATCTTCCATCAAAATTTCCAAAGCACACTTTAGGATACCAACTAAGGGAATAGTAATCAGATATTAGCTAAAAAAGTAATAAAGGAAGCCCCTCACCCCCCCAAAAAGAAAAGTTGTATTTGCAAATTTATGCAGCTGCATCAGTCGTGTCACGTTCCAACTACATTTCTTCTCCCTGATTGATTCCTTGGGCAATTGGTCAAGCATCGTGAGCAAAGTTATAAAAAGACCGGGTTTTTCTTTTTTTTTTTTTATTTAAATGAAAGGAGATCAAATTTTTGAGCAAATAAGATTGGTTAATCTAGACGTGAGATAGTCTTCGTCAACCATAAGCCCCCACCAAAATTAACTTCAATTACACTTTATTTATTTAACTTTTACGCGCGTTTGACCAAAACAATTATTGATTATTATATTTTACGGTAAAAATGTTGTTACACAATTTTTTAATAGTCCACTTTAATTTCACTTGCATGAGCAGTACTTTTTTTTTAATTATTAGAGTGTTATTAATTTTTATAAAATTTAAAATTTTTTATTTTAATATATTTAATAAATAAAAAAAATTCTCCAAAATACAACTCAATAGTAGTACATACTTACTAATACTGATCCATTTCACTAATTTCAAGTCATTTTAGAGTCATTATGTATTTTCAACTAATACATAAATATTTGATGCGTATAAGGTGATATTACTTGTTAGACAAAACATTATTTTACCTAATTATATACCGTCATTACACGTATGTATAATTTTATGTGTTTGAAAAAATAATTGTAGAAATTTCTTTTTGTAATATTAATTAATCATGAATAAAATAAATAATTTCTTTGTGTTTTCTCCATCAAGAGCTAGCAAATTACTTTGGGCAGTTTTACGATTTCTTCTCACGAATATCCTTAAAATACAAGCAGCATAAATCAAGAAAAATAAAGGGATTTTAGGTTCAAAGAGAGAAATTAAGGTCATGACATTAATAAAGGGTTTTAATATCATCAATGAGACGTTGAAGTATTCATTTCAAAGTTGATTAAAGTTACTCTTTATCAAGTAACGTTATGCGTTGATCGAAGATCAAATGACTGACTTATAACTGCTTTTCCATTCCATTTAAGACACGATAAGAAAATATATATTTTTAGTTTTTTAATTTTAATTTTTTTATTAGATAAATTTTGTAATAAAAAATCAAATAAGATAGAAATGATAAAATAATTCATATCCAATAGATTTTGATTCGCCCCAATAGAATTGATACGCTTTATTTAATTCGAGATAATTGGGTTGAGTTTTAAATTAAGCTAGGAATAAAAGTAAGGTTTTAGGTATTATGCATAGGTCTTGATATATATATATATATAATATTTTTTATTTTTTATTTAATTTTATATTTATATATAATTAAAAAATATTATTAAATATTTTAATTTAATAAATTCACATATTGTTTCATTTTGCTTTTTTTTATCATTTTCTTTATTTTTTAAAATTTTATTTACTAGATAAATTTTCTAAAGAAAAAAAATTAATGGAAGTAGAGATGATAAAACAATCTATATCCTATAAGTTTTGGCTCTTCATGATCCAATTGAATTTTTTGTCTTTGTTGACATAAACACTGAATTTTTTTATCTTGTAATACAATTAATAATTTTTTCTTTAATCCAATGAAAAAGGAAATTCAATAAAAAAAATGACAAATTATTGCTTCATCCACCCTAATATGCACGATTGTCTATAGAAATTAAAGTACAAAAAAATATGAGATTCTTTTTCAAAATAAGAAAATATGAAAATTTTGTTGATCATGTATTCTAAAAAAAATGCAAAAAGAAAGCATATTGAAAGAATGAATTTAGAAGAAAAAAAAGAGAAAAAAAAAATGCGGTGTAGGCTCAATAGAATTGTTATCCTTCAATATAAGGTTAAAGGTAAATGCATAGCCAAAATTTTCAGTTTGAGAAATTATCACATTTATTAATAATGGAGTTTTTAAATTTTACCGTTAGAATTAATAGGTGACGCATACTATAGTAAAAAAATAAAAAAAATAATTTAAAAAAGAAAGTGAAACATTTGGTAATTTTTAACTTTGTTTATGAAGTTAAAAAATTATATTGTCAAAATATTTATATGATAAATGGCTTAAATAATGTTTATGGTTGAGTTACTCGCTTGGACCTGAATATTCGCTTAAGTTTTAAAATGATTTGAAAAAAAAAAATTAAGATCCATTAAACAAGTTTAGACAATTTTTAAAACCGTTTAAATTTTGGGTTGAACCTTTAGACATAAAAATTAAGACTCGAGCTTGGCCAATTAACATCTCTAAAATACATTATCTCCTTGTTGAAAAAAACATTATTTTCACTTAAAAATTTTTAATTTTAATTTTGTTTTGTGAGTTAAAAACTAGAGTCAATAATTTTTTCAATCACATATGACTCAACCTATAATTTTTTTAAATTAATTGAATTTTTTTTTTTTTTTATAATTCTTTGCTGTTGCTATTGTTAGACAGTATGCACACCCATATTCTTACAAAAACAGATTTTTCCCCTTACTCCTTACAAACTAGAATTTCTCCTTTGCTACCCTTGATTTCATATTAATAATCCTTCTTAATTTTAATTAGATGAATGCAACAAGGTTTGATTGAATTACCCAACCTGATCATGAAAAACCATAAAATTAAGATTTCATATGGCAAGTTTTAGATTTCTTTCTCATAAAGTTTAACCCCAATTTCAACGTAAACATTCTTACGAAAGGGCTTTTACTTGCCTTAAAAGAGATTAAATCAGCTCTAATCTTTGGTTTTTGAATTCCAAAAATGATTTCCAATTCTTCAACCCAACACAAGAGAAACGAGTAAGCTCTCCGCTTGGCTCTTATTTTATGATAGAGCCTTATTGCTTCAAAACAAAGCGCGTTATTTACCCGATAGTCTTTATGTATCCTCTTTTTATTAAATAGCCTCACTACTTATAAATTTTTTTATTAAAGTCCTTTTTCTTTTATCTATTTCTTTAACCGGAGTACTACAATAGATGTGTTACACGTATGTACAATTTTATGTGTTTGAGAAAATCTTAGAATTTTCTTTTTGTAATAATCATGAGAACAAAAAAAATAATTTCTTTGTTGTTTCTCCAGCAAGAGCTAGCAAATTATTTTGGAAAGTTTTAAAGGATCTCTTCTTTTGCTTCTTTGGAATATCATCATCATCATCATCATCATCCAGGAAGCTTTTATCTATATCTATCTGACATTTTTTACATTGACAATTTATGTCCCAATAGCAATCTCCTCAACATCATAAATTAATAAAGGAATTTTAGGTGTGAAGAGAAAAAAGTAAAGACTACATTTATAAAAAATTTTATCGTGTACGAGCTGTTGAAGTTTTTTTTTTTTTTTTTTTTTATGTTCATTAAAGATATTTTTTATTAAGTACAATTACACGTTGATCGATGATCATATGATGGTTTATAATTACTTTTTCATTTCATGTAAGACACGGTAAAGATTAGGCAAAGTAGAAATTTCCAACAACTAAAGAAAGCACCAACCATGCTAAAAAGTAAAAAAAAAATTAAAATTTTATTTATTAGGTAAATTTTGTAAAAAAATAATTAATAGATGTAGAAATGATAAAATAATCTATATCCGATGGGTTTTAATTCATCACGATTCAATTAATATAACTTAAAAAAAATATTAGATTAATTTTTGCCCTTTTGAAGAATTTGAATCATGTTGGGTTTGGATTTGAAGTGCTCTACCTTGCCCTCCTCAGGATATATAAAAAAAATATTTTTATTATTTATTTAATCTATATTTATATATATGTATTGTATTAATAAAAAATTTATTTAATATCTTAATT